GTAGTGAGGAACAGGAATAATACTTCAAGATATCTGCAAAAACTAACCGATGATATTAAAATATCTGACATTTCTAATGGAGATAAAGTTACAGGCATCCCAACGTCACCACTACTGCTAAAAACTCACCTGTTTTAAGTGTATAGCTCGATGAGTTTTTATACAAGTACATACACATACAGCAACAACCTCAATCAAGACATAGAACATTTTCATTTCCCCCAAAAGTTCTTTCAGGACCCATATTCTCATCCGGTCTCCCCACAGGCAACTATTGATCTGCTTTCTGTCCCTATGGATTAGTTTTGCTTGTGCCAGAATTTTATTTGTTTGCTTTTTAATATCTATTGATATCTTTTCAGTGAACATTACCTATTCACTAAAACTGAACCAACAACCACAAGAATAGAGGCGTTTCTTTTAGAACTACCAAAAAGAACAGACAGGAGCCTTGTCTTCCTGTTGCCACCTGTGACAGGGCAGTGCTCGGGGAAGGAAGGGAGAGGTGCCAAAACACCTCAGCCACCTCTGTAAGCAAAGCTGACTCGCGTGGCTTCCTCTGCGTTCTAGGTAGACTGAAACAGTAAAGCCCAACTCTGCATTCTGGGCCTCAGTGTCCTCACCAGTAAAATGGGAATAATAATGATAGTAATATCCACTTCATGAGATTGTTGTGAGAATTCAGTGAGATTACAGTTTCTGGTACAGACCAATCCCCAAAAATATATCAATTCTCCTTCTCCACTACTCTTTTCTCCCCCAGCCCTGCTTCTCTCCCATCTTAAGTTGTACAGCCAACTTTCATGTGGCCTATGAAGTCTCGGGAATTCTTGCTTGGTTTTTTGTCTCCCCACTACATGCATACAGGGATGGAAAACATTAAATGTAATGACACTGTGACTTCCACTTCTGCCATTATTTATTTATGTATTTATTTATTTTTGAGACAGAGTCTCACTCTGTCGCCCAGGCTGGAATGCAGTGATGTCATCTCGGCTGACTGCAACCTCCGCCTCCCAAGTTCAATTCTCCTGCCTCAGCCTCACTGCAATTCTCCTGCCTCAGCCTCCTGAGTAGCTGGGACCACAGGTGCACACCACCACGCCCGGCTAATTTTTGTATCTTTCAGGGGTTTCACCATGCTGGCCAGGATGGTCTTGATCTCCTGACCTGGTGAGCCACCGCGCCCAGCTGCCATTGTTTATTTATATCTGGTTGTACTGGAATCCAAGGAGACATTCACAGGAAAGGTGGAAAGCAAGCTACGTATTGTCAGCATTGGGAGCAAAAGCCACAAGCCTCATTTTCAAGTTGGGAGGAAATATAAGCCCAGAGAAGTTAGAGGATTCAGCTTAGTCACAGGGCTTGGTAAGAACTAAACAGACTCTTTGAAGGACTAAATTGTGTCTCCCAAAATTGGTATGTTGAAGCTCTAACCCTTAGTACCCAGAATGTGCCTGGGTTTTGAGATAGGGTCTTTAAAGAGGTAATAAAATTAAAACAGTGACGTCAGAGTGGACCATAATCCAATATGACTACTAGCCTTATAAGAAGAGATTGGCAAACTCCACAGCTTCTGCACAGCAAAAGAAACAGTCGTTAGAGTGAATCGGCAACCAACAGAATGGGAAAAAATTTTTGCAGTTTACCCATCTGACAAAGGGCTGATATCCAGAATTTACAAAGAACTAAAACAGATTTACAAGAAAAAACTAACAAGCCCATTCAAAAGTGGGCAAAGGATATGAACAGACACTTTACAAAAGAAGACATACATGAGGCCAACAAACATATGAAAAAATGCTCATCATCACTGGTCATCAGAGAAATGCAAATCAAAACAACATTGAGATACCATCTCACGCCAGTTAGAATGGCGATCATTAAAAAATCTAGAGACAACAGATGCTGGAGAGGATGTGGAGAAATTGGAACACTTTTGCACTGTTGGTGGGAGTGTAAATTAGTTCAACCATTGTGGAAGACAGTGTGGCGATTCCTCAAGGACCAAGAAATAGAAATTCCATTTGACCCAGCAGTCCCATTACTGGGTATATATCCAAAGGATTACAAATCGTTCTGCTAGAAGGACACGTACACACGAATGTTCATTGCAGCACTGTTTACAATAGCAAAGACCTGGAACCAACCCATATGCCCATCGACGATAGACTGGATAGGGAAAATGTGGTACATATACACCATGGAATATTATGCAGCCATCAAAAACAATGAGTTTGGGTCCTTTGTAGGGACATGGATGAACCTGGAAACCATCATTCTCAGCAAACTGACAGAAAAGCAGAAGATCAAACACCGCATGTTCTCACTCATAGGCTGGTGTTGAACAATGAGAACACATGGACACAGGGAGGCGAACACTACACACTGGGGTCAGTTGGGGGGAAATAGGGGAGGGACGGTGGGGGATGGGAGGCTGGGGAGAGATAGCAAGGGGAGAAATGCCAGATGTAGGTGATGGGGAGAAAGGCAGCAAATCACACTGCCATGTGTGTACCTATGCAACAATTTTGCATGTTCTTCACATGTACCCCAAAACCTAAAATGCAATAAAATAAATAAATGGAAAAAAAAAAGAAGAAGAGATTGGGACACAGACAGACAGAGGGATGACCTTGTGAGGACATGGCAAGAAGGCAGCCATCTGCAAGCCAAGGAGAGAGAAGTCACATGTGCTGACACCTTGACGTGGGAGTTCTAGCCTCCAGAACTGTGAGAAAATAATTTCCATTATTTAAGTCACTCAGTCTTTGGTATTTTGTCATAGTAGCCCTGGTTCTGTGAGTCCTTGTCATAGGATACCCTTTCTCCAGAAGCTGAGCAGCATGTGATGGGGCAGATGGGATGAATAGCGGGAAGGGGCCATGTGGCTTCTTGGTGAGGCCCCAGTATTTACCATTATGCTGCAGAACTCCACAAGTCAGTGCCTCTCCAAAAGCGAGGTCTCAAGCACTTCACAAGCAGCAGGCCATCCTGCACTAGGCGTGGTGTCTCTTCTCACAGCAACCTAGGTGCCAGCATTCTGCAGCCCTTGGACTATACAATCTGATAGCAATTAAGAAATAAGAGCAGTCAAGTCGAAGCTAAGAGTAAGTTCTGGAACAGCTCTGTAGGGAAGATGGAAGTTTAGTAAGTCCTGTCTGATAATAGGGTATTTAGTGAGACATAATTCTTCTGTATGGGTTATATTATGCTTAATCTCATTATAACTTGTATTTCAAAAATTTGTCACTTAATTATCTTTTCTTTTTTTCTTTAATAAAGTTTATTGCAGTAGGTTATACATACAAAAATGTGCACAAGTCATAACTATAGCTCAAAGAATTTTCACAATGTGAATATATTTTATTTAATCATCATCCAGAACAATAAGCAATACAAGTACCCCAGGAGCTCCCCCTTGTGCCTCTCCCACTCGTGCTTGCCCCTCTTCTCCAGAGGGAATGGCTCTCCTGATTTCTAAAACCATACATTAATCTTATGTGACTTTGAACTCTATGTAAACAGAAGCAGATGGAAAGTACTATTTTGGGATTCTTAGCTCAACATAATTTTGGTGATGTTCATCCATATTGTTGTGTGTAGCAGCGATTTGTAATTTTTCATTGCTGTATAGTTTCCTTTGAATAAATATGCAACTCCACTTTTCATTCTGCTCTTGATATTTAAAATTTTTTTTTTATTTTTTGAATAATGCTGCTGTGAACATTTGCATACACTCTCCCTCTCCAAGACTGTATGATCATATTCTTCTCAGTACTTAGTATTGTCAGACTACTTAAAGTTAGCCATTCTGGTGGATATAAATTTAACTTTAATTTGTGGTTTTAATTTGCATTTTTTTAAAATTTTACTTTAGGTTCTGGGATACATAGGCAGAAGGTGCCAGTTTGCTTCATAGGTATACGTGTGCCATGGTGGTTTGCTGCACCTATCAACCTATCATCTAGGTTTTAAGCCCCACATGCATTGGGTATTTGTCCTAATGCTCTCCCTCCCCTGGCCCCCAACCCCCAACAGGCCCTAGTGTGTGATGTCCTCCTCCCTGTGTCCATGTGTCCTCATTGTTCAACTCCCACTTATGAGTGAGAACATGCGGTGTTTGGTTTTCTGTTCCTGTGTTAGTTTGCTGAAGATGATGGTTTACAGCTTCATCCATGTCCCTGCAAAGGACATGAACTTATCCTTTATCATGGCTGAATAGTATTCCATGGTGTATATGTGCCACATTTTCTTTACCAAGTCCATCATTGATAGGCAATTCCAAGTCTTTGCTATTGTAAATAGTGCTGCAGTAAACATACGTGTGCATGTGTCTGTATAGTAGAATGATTTATATTCCTTTGGATATATTCTCAGTAATGGGATTACTGGGCCAAATGGTATTTCTGGTTCTAGATCCTTGAGGAATCGCCACATTGTCTTCCACAATGGTTGAACTAATTTACTCTTCTACCAACGGTGTAAAAGTGTTCCTATGTCTCCACAGCCTCACCAACATCCGTCATTTCCTGACTTTTTAATAATTGCCATTCTAACTGACATCAGATGGTATCTCATTGTGATTTTGATTTGCATTTCTCTAATGACCAGTGATGATGCACTTTTTTTCATATGTTTGTTGGCCACATAAATGTCTTCTTTTGAGAAGTGTCTGTTCATATACTTTGCCCACATCTTGATGAGGTTATTTGTTTTTTCCTTGTAAATTTGTTTAAGTTCCTTACAGATTCTGGATATTAGATCTTTGTCAGATGGACTGATTGCAAAAATGTTCTCCCATTCTCTAGGTTGCCTGTTCACTCTGATTATATTTTCTTTTCCTATGCAGAAGCTCTTTCATTTGATTAGATCCCATTTGTCAATTTTGGCTTTTGTTGTCATTGCTTTTGGTGTTTTAGTCATGAAGCCTTTGCCCATGCTTATGTCCTGAATGATATTGCCTAGGTTTTCTTCTAGGGTTTTCATAGTTTTGGGTTTTACATCTAAGTCTTTAATCCATCTTGAGTTAATTTTTGTATAAGGTGTAAGGAAGGGGTCCATTTTCAGTTTTCTGCATATGACTAGCCAGTTTTCCTGGCACCATTTATTAAATAGGGAATCCTTTCCCCATTGCTTGTTTTTGTCAGGTTTGTTGAATATCAAATGGTTATAGATGTGTGGTGTTATTTCTGAGGACACTATTCTATTCCACTGGTTATATATCTGTTTTGGTGCCAGTACCATGCTATTTTTGTTACCGTAGCCTTGTAGTGTATTATAGTATGAAGTTAAGTAGCGTGATGCCTCCAGCTTTGTTCTTTTTGCTTAGAATTGTCTTGCCTTTACGGGCTCTTTTTTTGTTCCATATTAAATTTAAAGTAGTTTCTTCTAATTCTGAGAAGAAAGTCAGTGGTAGCTTAATGGGAAAAGCATTGAAATTATAAATTGCTTTGGGCATTATGGCCATTTTCACAATATTGATTCTTCTTATCCATGAGTATGGAATGTTCTTCCATTTGTTTGTGTCCTCTCATATTTCTTTGAGCAGTGATTTGTAGTTCTCCTTGAAGAGATCCTTCACGTCCCTTGTAAGTTTTATTCCTGGGTATTTTATTCTCTTTGTAGCAATTTTGATTGAGAGTTCACTCGTGATTTGGCTCTCTGCTTGTATATTATTGGTGTTTAGAAATGCTTGTGATTTTTGCACCTTGATTTTGTATCCTGAGACTTCGCTGAAGTTGCATACCAGCTTAAGGAATTTTTGGGTTGAGATGATGGGGTTTTCTAAATATACAATCATGTCATCTGTAAACAGAGACAATTTTACTTTTCTTCCTATATGAATACCCTTTATTTCTTTCTCTTGCCTGATTGCCTTGGCCAGAAATTCCAATACTATGTTGAACAGGAGTTTTGAGAGAGGGCATCCTTTTCTTGTGCTGGTTTTCAAAGGGAATGCTACCAACTTTTGCACATTTAATATGATATTGGCTACAGGTCTGTCATAAATAGCTCTTACTATTTTGATATACATTCCGTTAATACCTAGTTTATTGAGAGTTTTTAGTATGAGGGGATGGTGACTTTTATCAAAAGGCCTTTTCTGCATCTATTGAAGTAATCATGTGGTTTTTGTCATTGGTTCTGTTTATGTGATGGATTCCATTTATTGATTTGCATATGTTGAACCAGCCTTGCATCCCAGGAATGGAGCCGACCTGATCATGGTGGATACACTTTTTGATGTGTTGCTGGATTCAGTTTGCCAGTATTCTATTGATAATTTTCACATTTATGTTTATCAGGGATATTGGCCTGAAGTTTTCTTTTTTAGTTGTGTCTCTGCCAGGTTTTGGTATCAAGATGATGCTGGCCTCATAAAATGAGTTAGGGAGGAGTCCCTCTTTTTCTATTGTTTGGAATAGTTTCAGAAGGAATGGTACCAGCTCCTCTTTGTACCTCTGGTAGAATTCAGCTGTGAATCCATCTGATACTGGGCTTTTTTTGGCTGGCAGGCTATTAATTACTGCCTCAATTTCAGAACTTGTTATTGGTCTAGCAAAGGATTCGACTTCTTCCTGGTTTAGTCTTGGGTGGGTGTATGTGTCCAGGAACTTATCCATTTGTTCTAGATTTTCCAGTTTATTTGCATCTAGGTACTTATGGTATTCTTTGATGGTAGTTTGTATTTCTGTGGGATCAGTGGTGATACCCCTTCATTTTTTATCGCATCTCTATTTGATTCTTCTCTCTTTTGTTCTTTATTATTCTAGTTAGTGATCTATTTGTTAATCTTTTCAAAAAAAAAAAAAAAAACAGCTTCTGGATTCATTGATTTTTTGAAGGGTTTTCCATGTCTGTATCTCCTTCAGTTCTGCATCTCCTTTAGTTCTGCTCTGATCTTAGTTATTTCTTGTCTTCTGCTACTTTTGAATTTGTTTGGTTTTCTTCTCTAGTTATTCAAATTGTGATGTTAGGGTGTCAATTTTAGATCTTTCCAGCTTTCTGATGTGGGTATTTCATGCTATAAATTTCCCTCTTAACACTGCTTTAGCTGTGTCCCAGAGATTCTGCTATGTTGTCTCTCTGTTCTCACTGGTTTCAAAGAACTTCTTTATTTCAGTAGTCATTCAGGAGTACATTGTTCAGTTTCTATGTAGTTGTGTGGTTTTGAGTGAATTTCTTAATCCAGAGTTCTAATTTGATTGCACTGTGGTCTGAGAGACTGTTATGATTTTGTTCTTTTGCATTTGCTGAGGAGTGTTTACTTCTAATTATGTGGTCAGTTTTAGAATAAGTGCTATGTGGTGCTGAGAAGAATGTATATGCTGGTTGATTTGGGGTGGAGAGTTCTGTAGATGTCTATTAGGTCCACTTGGTCCAGAGCTGAGTTCAAGGCCTGAATATCATTGCTAATTGATATTGTTGATCTTGTTGATCTAATATTGACAGTGGAGTGTTAAAGTCTCCCACTATTATTGTGTGTGGGAGTCTAAGTCACTTTTTAGGTCTCTAAGAACTTGTTTTATAAATCTAGGTGCTCCTGTATTGGGTACATATATATTTAGAATAGTTAGCTCTTTTTGTTGCATTGATTACTTCACCATTATGCAATGCCCTTATTGTTCTCTTTTGATCTTTGTTGGTTTAAAGTCTGTTTTATCAGAGACCAGGATTATAGCCCCTGCCTTTTTTTCTCTCGCTTTCCATTTACTTGGTAAATATTTCTCCATCTCTTTATTTTGAGCCTATGTGTGTCTTTGCACATGAGATGAGTCTCCTGAATACAGCACACCACTGGGACTTGACTCTTTAACCAACTTACCAGTCTGTGTCTTTTCACTGCAGCATTTAGCCCATTTACATTTAAGGTTACTATAGTTATGTATGAATTTGATCCTGTCATCATGATGCTAGCTGGTTACTTTGCACATTAGTTGATGCAGTTTCTTCTTAGTATCATTAGTCTTTATATTTTGATGTGTTTTGCAGTGGCTGGTACCAGTTTTTTCTTTCTATATTTAGTGCTTCCTTCAGGAGCTCTTGTAAGGCAGGCCTGGTGGTGAAAAAACCCATCAGTATTTGCTTGTCTGTAAAGGATTTTATTTCTCCTTTGCTTATGAAGCTTAGTTTTGCTCGATGTGAAATTCTGGGTTCAAAATTATTTTTTTTAAAGAATGTTGAATATTGGCCCTCACTCTCTTCTGGCTTGTAGGGTTTCTGCAGAGAGATTCACTGTTAGTTTGATGGGCTTCCTTTTGCAGGTAACCTGATCTTTCTCTCTGGCTGACCTTAACATTTTTTCCTTCGGTTTCAACCTCGTAGAATCTGACAATTGTGTGTCTTGGGGTTGCTCTTCTCAAGGAGTATGTTAGTGATGGTCTCTGTATTTCCTGAATTTGAATGTTGGCCTGTCTTGCTAGGCTGGGGAAGTTCTCCTGGATAGTATACTGAAGTGTGTTTACCAACTTGGTTCCATTCTCCCCATCATTTTCAGGCATACCAATCAATTGTAGGTTTGGTCTTTTCACATAGGCCCATATTTCTTGGAGACTTTGTTCATTCCTTTTCATTCTTTTCTCTCTAATCTTGTCTTCATGCTTTATTTCAGTAAGTTGATCTTCAATCTCTGATATCGTTTCTTCTGCTTGATCAGTTCGGCTGTTGACACTTGTGTATACTTCATGAAGTTCTTATGCTGTGTTTTTCAGCTCAATCAGATCATTTATGTTCCTACCTAAACTGGTTATTCTAGTTAGCAATTCCTGTAACCTTTTAGCAAGGTTCTTAGCTTCCTTGCATTGGGCTAGAACATCCTCCTTTAACTCAGAGCAGTTTTATTACCGACCTTCTGAAGCCTACTTCTGTCACTTCGTCAGTCTCATTCTCCATCCAGCTTCGTTCCCTTTCTGGAGAAAAGTTGTGATCATTTGGAGAAGAAGAAGCATTCTGGTGTTTGGAATTTTCAGCATTTTGCACTGGTTTTTCCTCATCTTCATGGACTTATCTACCTTTGATCTTTGAGGCTGATGACCTTTGGATGGGGTTTCTGTGTGTGGAGTTCCTTTTTGTTGATGTTGATGTTATTGCTTTCTGTTTGTTAGTTTTTCTTCTAACAGTCAGGCTCCTCTTCTGCAGGTCTGCGGCAGTTTGCTGGAGTTCCACTCCACACCCTGTTCACCTGCGTATCACCAGTAGAGGCTGCGGAACAGCAAAGATTGCTGCCTGCTCTTTCTTCTGGAAGCTTCATCCCAGAGGAGCACCAGCCTGATGCCCACAAGAGCTCTCCTGTATGAGGTGCTTGTTGACCCCTGTTGGGAGGTCTCTCCCAGGCAGGAGGCACAGGGGCCAGCGACCCACTTAGTAGAGTTGGTGTGCCGTGCTAGAAGAATCCCTCTTGTCGGGATTAGGTGCTCTCTCCACTCCTTTCCCCAGGTGCTCTGTCACAGGGAGATGAGGGTTTTGTCTGTAAGCCCCTGACTGGGGCTGTTACCTTTCCTTCAGAGATGCCCTGCCCAGTGAGGAGGAATCTAGAGAAGCAGTCTGGCCACAGCTGCTTTGCTGGGCTATGGTGAACTCCACCCAGTTCAGACCTCTCAGCCTCCTTAGCACTGTCAGAGGAAAACTGCCTACCAAATTTCCATTTCCTACTGACTACTGAAGTGGAAGCATTTTTCATACGTGTATTGGCTTTTGGATCCCATTTTTTGTTAAGTATTTGCTCAATTTCATGACTTATTTTTCCATGAGATCTTTTTCTTAATGATTTGTGAAGATTCTTCACATATTCTGGATGAGTCTTCTATCATCACATACATTGCAAATATCTTCTCCCAGTTGGTGGCTGCCTTTTCATCCCTGTATTGTGTCTTTTGAAGAACAGAAGTGTTACTTTTAATGTAGTCTATTTATCATGTTTTTCTTTTTTATCATAAGTGCTTTCTGGTTTCTGTTCCTTTGCCTAATCAAGGTTATGAAGATATTTTTCTGTGTTAGTTTCTAGAACTTTTACTTTCTAACTTTAAATTTTGGATCTGCAATTCTCCTGGGATTGAATTTTTGTATTTAATATAAAGTAGGGGTGGAATTTTATTTATTTCATATGAATATATAAATGACCCAGTAGATTTTATTGGAGAGATCATTTTACCTGCAATATCGCCTTTCCTATGAATCAAGTTTTGTGTATATATGGGTCTATTTATGGACCTTCTACTCTGTTTTACTGTTTTACTTTCTCATCTTGTATCTACATCACACTGTCTTAATTAATGTAGCTTATAAGAAATCTTAGTATCAGGTAGAATGAGTGTTTTTGCTTTGTTCTTCTTCATGAGTATCTTGGTTATTTTTGGCCCTTTGCAATTACACATAAATTTTAGAATCAGCTTGTCCGTTTTCACCAAAATGCCTGCTGAGAAGCTAATTAAGATCGCACTGAATTTATAGATCAAACTGAAGAGACTTGACATCTTTACAATATTGAGTCTTCTGACCTGTGATCATGGAATATTTATTATTTAGATCTTTAATTTCTCCCAGTGATGTCTTAAAATTTTCAATGCACAGGTCTTGCACACAGTAGACCCTTGAAGATCAGGGCTTTGAATTTCGATGACCCACTTATATGTATATATTTGTTCAACCTAAAGCAGATTTTAAAAATGCAGTATTTGCAGGATGTGAGACCTGCCTATACTGAAGGACAACTTTTCATATATGCATGTTCCACAGGGCCAACTGTGGGACTTGAGTATCCCTGGATTTGTGTATATGCAGGGGTTCCTGGAACTCATCCCCCATATTTATTGAGAGACAACTGTGTTTCTTTAGATTTATTCCTTGGCATTTGGGTTCTGTAATGCCACATAAATGGTATTATTTTCTTTTTGTTCTAATTAAACCAAATTTTATGTAAAATTGTTTTTTATGATTAAAAATTAAATTTTTGTAAACTGATTTTGTATACAGCAACATTGTTAAACTTACTTTAATTCTAAAAGTTTGTAGATTGTTTGGGATTTCTTTCCTCATGCATAACTGTGCTTGCACATTTCTTCCTTACAAATCTTTTATTTTTGCAATGACTAGGATCACAAATACATCAATAAATAGCAGTGGACATAGCGAGAATCTCTGTTTCTTTCTTGATCTCAACGGAAATGCTTTCAATATTTTCCCGTTAAATATGATTTTTTTTGTAGAAATTATTAAATTAAGGAATTTCCCTTCTCTTCCTAATTTCTCAAGGTTTCTCTTATTTTAGTCATAAGCCTTTTTGCTTTCCTTTTCATTCCTTTTATTGTGTCTTTTGATGAACAGAACTTCATCAAATGCTTTCTTTGCATCTATTGAGAAATTGTATGAAATATCTACTTAATCTTTTAAAGTGATAAATTATAATTAATTAATTTTTTAATGACTAATCAGCTTTACATTCCCAGAATAAAGTCATGTTGGTTGTGTCACATTATCCTTTTAAGTGTATTACTTAATTTGGTTAGCTAGCAAATTGTAAAGGATTTCTGTATCTACATTCATAGCAGAGATTGGCCAATAATTTCTCTTAGCTCTAATTTTTTCTCTATCCAACTCTTTTAGACATCTTTGTGGGCTCCCCTCTTTCTGTCCATATTTTTTGTACCTATGTTCTCCAGAGTTCTGCCCTTGGCCTTCTCTCCTCACTTTACATACTCCCTGGGTATTCTCACCTGTTCCCACGGCTTCAACAATCATCTAGATGCTGACAGTTCTCAAATCTGTATCTCCAGTCAGCCTTCCCTCCTGAGCTTCCCACACATATCTCCAGCTGCCTCTGACATTTCTCCTTCGAATATCATGCCAGCTCCCCAGGTTCATCAGGGATCCATGCCCTCCAGACATGTTTCCTCTCATATTTCCCAAGTCAGGGCTGCCATCTTTCTAGTTTCTCAAGCCAGACACCTGGACGTCATGCTGGACTTCTCTTTCTCCCTCATCCTTTGTCCAATCAGTAAACAAGGCCTATATGTTCTACCATGGAAATACTTTCTCTGAAGTGGCTCACAGTCTAGCAATAAAACCTTCCTAAACATGCGTCAGAATTACATAAGAAGTAAAAAGATGTGCTACTGGATGTTAGATGAGGATGCCTATATGTTTTAAGAAGGTCACTAAATGGCAAGTTTAACCTATGACTGGAAAAGCAAATGTATGTCAGAATCTAGGGAGAGAAGGCAAAGAGGATGCTGTAATACTGAAGGCATGGCATTCTTATTCCATTGACAATCATCATATATCCACTCTTGGCAGAAACAGGCTACAGGGGCAGCACTTTCCATCTTTCTGAAGTATCCCATAGACATTTAATTTAGGGAGGCCCACCTGGGTTAGAAGAACACAGCCGGAAGAGGGACTTCAAAGGCATAAAATTCAGGAGCTCCTCTTCAAGAGAACTGCTCTCTCCCACAGAAGGCGAACAAAGATCTTCTAACCCTTTGAATGCCCTCGGGATCATGGTGCACTGAGAGGGTGGAGAGAGGGTATGAGAGTCAAACTGAGATAGAAACCTGGATAAATAGGAAACATAATAACCAAGAATAGAATGACAAATCTCTTCACTGTTCTAAAATGGAGGTAAACCGCTTCCTGATCTTGTATAATTTGACTTACAAAATATATAATAATCATTCAACATTTACATAGCATTTTACAATTTTTAATTATGCTCATAGATATCTCCTTAGAAACTAACAGTAACCCTCAAAGGTAGATATTCTTTCATTTGACAGATAAGGAAACGAAGGCTCATAAACGATTAAGCAATTTACTTAAGAGCACATGGTTAGTGGAGTGTTGGGACCAGACCCCTGACCCTGACTTCCAGCTCAGATTTGTTTCTTCCATTGCACACTCCTTTCTGAAGAAAAGTCTTGCAGTCTCTGGTAGTCTTTATTTGCTAAAAAAAAAATGCATTCCAATTGGTAAGAGGTTTCAATGCAGAACTGCCTATTCCATTTTTCAAGAGGAGAAAATAGTGTCACAGTGCCAAGTTAAATGTTGGGGAGGAATAAAACTCCACAGAATTTTCTGCAGCCATGAGGATGCCAGTGAGGTCTTCCTCCATCACTGCCCTTGGATACTAGTAACAGTCTCTGAGGTTCAGAGGCTAGGTCCAGATCAGAAAGAACAGGTTTGTGTCACGATGAAGAACACAAAGGAGACACTCAAAAAAAGGCTGGGGCTCTGAAGGAATTCCCCAGAGGAAAGGATGAAAGAAATAAACTAGACAAAAACAAAAGAAAGTGAGTTTAAGGAGAGAGACATATTTTTCAGTAGTGATGATGCATCATGGTGATGAGAGAGGGAAATAAAAAGTAAGTGTATATCCAACACCGGCCTTAAAGTTCCTACCTTGGTAAGGGGTGGTAAAGCTGCTACAAAATCCCCTTCATAAATGAGATGTGGGCTGGGGGATGATTTGTTCATTCTTTCATTGATTACAGAATTTTCTTTTTGAAAGCCAATTACGCAGGCAACCTCAGAGATATTACAGATTTAATTCAAGATCACAACAGTGATTAGAACAAAGAGAGTTGCACAAACTTTTTTGTTTCCCAGTGCATGTAAAAGGTATGTGTACATCCTACTATAGACTATTAAGTATAAAATAGCATTATGTCTTTTAAAAAGTACATATCTTAATTAAAAATACTTTAGTGCTAGAAATGCTAACAATCACCTGAACCTTCAGCAAGGTGTGATCTTTTTGCTGGTGGAGGGTCTCGACTCAATGTTTATGGCTGCTTACTGATCACAGTGGTGGCTGCTGAAGGTTGGGGCAGCTGTGGCAATTTCTGAAAATAAGACAACAATAAAGTTTGCCACGTCAATTAACTCTCCTTCTCATGAAAGATCCCTTGTAGTATGCAATACCGTTTGATAGAATTTGCTTTGCAAAACAAAAATGTGTTGAATTTATATTATATGTAGTATATATAATATTATAATACATCAAATATATCATATATGTATATATATATATATAATACATATACCAAGAGAGAAGAGAGGAAGTGAGATATTTTAACCACAGGAAAACTTTCTTCAAAATTGAAGTCAATCCTCTCAAACTGTGCCACTGCTTTACCAAAGAAGTTGATGTAACATTCCAAATCCTTTGTTGACATCTCAACAATGTTGATAGCATCTTCACCAGGAGTTGATTCCATCTCAAGAAACCACTTTCTTTGCTCCTCCATAAAAAGCAACTCTTCATCCATTCAAGTTTGATCATGAGGTTGTAGCAATTCAGTCACATCTTCAGGCTTCATTTCTAATTCTAGTTCTCTTGCTATTTCCACCACATGTGCAGTTACTTTCTCCACTGAAGTCTTGAACTCCTCAAAGTCAGCTAAGAGAGCTGGAAACGAAAAGAAGGAATGAGCCATGTGCAGATTTAAGTGAAATGAAGGAATGAGACATGTGTAGATTTAAGTGAAATAAAGGAATGAGCCATGTGCAGATTTGGAGGGCAGATGAGCAGCCATTGTTTCTGAGGAGCAAGAAGAAGCTGTCTTGAATAGAACCTAGTGAATGATAGAGAGAGTGGGGAGAGATGATGTGGGAAGACCTGCACCTCTGGCTGCTGGTGAAGCCAGATAGCCTATAATCCCCGAGGTTTTTAGCTTGATTTCATCTTCTTTGAATACTTTCTACCTAAAATATGACATCATTCTTTATTTAGGTAGCCCTCTTTTTAATGGAAAGCTACTACCCTTCATGAGGCCTTGGTTACCTACCTGCAAGGTACTCAGCCTGCTGCATGTTTGCCCACAGTTTAGAAGGCAACAGAGCTAAAAATGGCAAAGTCTCTAATGGAGCACAATGATTAATCTGTTAAATTCCCTGGAGAGCCAGGAGCAGCAGCAGGCCAAACAGGTCAGGCCTCCAGCACCCTGGGCAGTCTTTCCCCTAGGAAATCATCACAGAACTTCTGGTGTTGATCTGTTTATTAATCTTCCTTTCAGCAGTGAGAAATGCACTACTTGATGAAAAGAAAACAGCTTTTGAAAGATATGCTCCTTCCCAAGATGGTACATAGACCACCTGTTGTGACAGCAGCTTCCATGACACTGATTTAAAAAAGAAGAAAAAAACCCAGTGATTTTACCTGATTATGAAAGCAGTGCATATTTATTGTTGGCAAATTAGACATGCAGGAAAGTATAAAGAATAATCATCCAAACACCACCACCTGGAGATAACTATTATTAAGCTTTCTAATTTTATATAATTACACACATATATGTGGATATATCTGATGTCATTTGGTAGCTACAATTTGGTATTCTAATTTTAAATTTAGCATTATATAGTAATCACTTTCCCATGGGCACCGCCTTTTAATTTCACAGACTGGCCTCTAGGCTCTAGAGGCACCAAAGAAAATAGTGCAGGAAGAGGCTGGGATTGGCAAAAGCCAAAATTATGCTCCATGTGATTGTTTTTTGGGGTAAATGTCATCATGTTACAACCTTGGCAGGTTCCTGGTTCCCCTCCTCAAATTGTTAAGACCTCATCCAAAGTAGATAGGGGAGACTCAGACCCCAGGACTGGTTTTTAGAGCAAATTATTATATTTGGTATACAGCTGTCAGTCAGACTTGTTTCAGCGCATAGCACATGCTGAGGAACACACACACACCAGCATTCAAAGCATTTAAAACTGCCCATCATGGCACACACATCCTGACTTTTGCCCTAATAAGCTGGCCTTTCTGATCAGGGGGCTTGGCTGATTCTTAGTCTTAAGAGGTAAGGGGAGCTGTCTTCAACTAAAATACTATCAGAGATTTACTATTCTCTGCTTGACTTAGAACCACAGCTTCAGTTGCCGCCTTATTTTTGGCCTAGCTGAAATTCTTATTGGTCTTTGTAATGAGCCAGCCTATAGAAGATTTTAATCGTCACATTCCTTCATTTTTTGGTGTCTTTGTTATCTTTTTCATTCTTCGGCCAAGGCTAATGCAGGAACCACACAGAGACATAATCCACTTCTTGACCAGACCTAATCACAGCATATAGGTAACTTTACTGCCCTTTCTTGCTTATCAGAGCACAGAGGATGATAAGAGATACCACATCACATGAGTGGCAGGGACTGTTAGCTATATAACAGCCTTTTCCCCTTTCTTTTGCCTTGACTGCAGTAAGAGTGAAGATCCAAAAAAGGCACACAAAAGGGAGAAATTAAAGGGCTGAAAAAATACAAATTGTAACTGGTCTAAGCCAGTCATAGGACTCTGAAGCCTCTTTGCCAGCTACTCACTTTTTGGCCTATCTTACAGTTAGAGATGGCCATACGATTCAATTTCCACCATGGGGACAGGAGAAAATCTGGGAAATTTTTCCTTCCTGATGAACAAGAAAGGTATTTTTCCTTTGCCCCCATTTTTCTCATCTTTGAACGTAGCTAGCATGAAGCCCTAGTGCTTAAAGCTGTGGCGGCCTGCTTGTGACAGTGAGATGATGAGCATGAAGATGAGAAGCAGTCTGCTAATGATGCTGGAGTTGAAGGATGGAAAGTGTCTAGACTCCTGATCACATTTGTGAGTTGCCACTCAGCTCTGGAACTGCCTACTTCAGGAAACTTTCCTAAGGAAAAAAGAAAAAAAGAAAGAAATTCTTATGGTTTAAGACACTCTTTCTTGCAGGTAAATCTGTCCTAATGGACACAGGCCATTGGTGGTCAATGAGTGAAAGGCCCAACTTTTCTGAAGGGCAGCCTCAATATTATAGTACCTGCAAACTACAAATACGAACAAATTCAATTCCAAGAGTTGATCTGTTGGGCTAACAAGATGAATTTGTGCTTCTATTGGTGGAAACTGACCTTTCTAGAAGATGGACAGATTTACATCAGAGAGTGGGCAAAGCAGAACCAACCCGAGTCAACATTCCACAATGCCTTGAGTATAGGTGACAGGACAGACTTTTAACTGTGTTCTTTGTTGTTAAGTCTAAAACAGATTGAAATTCGTACTTATGTTTTTTATAGTAACTAACAGAAAAGATTTAAATTAATGAATAGAGAGACCTCTCAAAGAGCTTTGAACAAGTGCTGGGGAAGAGCATGTAGTTTAGCTTGACCATGTATCCATCTCAAAGCAGATGGTACAAATTGGAAATGCTTCTTGATTTCACTTACCCAATAACCAAACATTTTGATTTCCATAAATTTTTGTTGGTGGGTGGTTATTCGTTTTGTAAATTCATTCACTGACAGTTTTAAATGGTCATCTTTCTCACAGCATCTAAAATGTTATTGGATGTAAACAAAAATTGAATCATGAAATCACCTCTGGAATATGATGTTAAGGAAAGTGCCTGAACTTAGAAGTGCAGCCAAAGAATTCAAATTTTAGTTCTGCTACTATATGTCACCTTGGGCATATTACTTTGCTTTTTTGGCCCTCATTTCCTAAATGAAAATAATACTAATCACAAAAAGGCTGTTGGGTGATTTAAGTAAAGAATGTAAAGTACAGGACACATAGTAGATATTGATAAATAGTAGCTTCTGTGTCAATTAGGGTCTAACAGAAATAAAGAGAAGATTTGATTTAGGATATTTTAAGTTTTTTTCCTCCATTTGACATAGCAATCCTATTATTGGGTATATACTCAAAGGAATATAAATCATTCTATTATAAAGACGCATGCACGTGTATGGTCACTGCAGCACTATTCACAACAGCAAAGACATGGAATCAACCCAAATGCCCATCAATGATAGACTAGATAAAGAGAATGTGGTACATATACACCATGGAATATGATGCAACCATCAAAAGGAACAAGATCATGTCCTTTGCAGGAACATGGAGGAAGTTGGAAGCCGTTATCCTCAGCAAACTAATGCAGGAACAGAAAACCAAACACTGCATGTTCTCACTTATAAGTCAGAGCTGAACAATGAGGACACTTGGACACAACGGAAGGAATAACATACACTGGGGCCTGTTTGGAGAAGGCAGCATAGGGGAGAGCATAAGAAAAAATAGCTAATGCACGCCAGGCTTAATATCTAAGTAATGGGTTGATAGGTGCAGCAAACCGCCATGGCACATGTTTACCTATGTAACAAAACTGCACATCCTGCAGATGTACCCCAGAACTTAAAATAAAATTAAAAGCAAAAAGCAAACAAAAGATTTTTTTCTCACAAATAAATTATTTTCAAAGGTGAGCAGAACTTAGGAGAATCACATCTAGGAAAAATTTCCAGGGTAAATAAATGTAATTTACAAGGATGTTTATCACATAATTGTTCTCCTACTGAGTGAATCAGGAAACAATTCAGATGTCCAAGTATAGGCAATTGATCACATACATGTCACTGAATAACAAAAAACCACTGAAAAAATACTGCAGAAGTAAATGCATTGACAATAGATATATTAATAATGTAGTGAATAGAGCAGATATTAAGATATCGTGGAGAGTAGAATCTATTTTGTTAAAATTACATGTATTTCTATTTACAATCTATATGAATATCTAGGTGCAATTATTTAAAGCCAGACCTTTAATATTCTTGTGGAATCTTTAAAAAATTGTCAGTTTCATTTTTAGCCCTAAAGGAGGTAAAGATTGCATTTTATCTTCTGGAGGCACAGGTGAGGGAATGCGGTGGAGGGAGCAGGTGGGGCACCCTTAACCTCATTCAAATGATTTAGATGGAATGGTCAATATTCTGTTTGGTAACGGACCTTCTCAAGTGTGTTTGAAACAGAGTTGCCTCTGAGACTCCATAACTTCTTTGGGGTGGAGTTCAAGATGAGGATGGAAAGAATGTTGTTTGTCTGTGTGGATTTAGAGACTGCCTTGCCTTATGCTGCTTGTTGTGTTGAAGCTATTGATGTTCCCTTTTGATTAATTATATGCAGGGTAACTAAATCTGAGAAACCAAAAACTGCAG